TTTCAGCACTGTTTGGTAGGTAGCTCTTCTGTTGCACTGAGTTCTCTTCAGAATTTGTACTTCCTGCCAATTTGGGAACAGACAGGGTTGGCAATAGTATATAGTTAAGTACAGTTGTCAGGTACCGTAAGCTAAGATTACATTTGCCTCTTGCCACATAGTCTTGTAGTCTGAAAGCAGATCACCAGGACCAGGGAAATTCCAGTGCTAGTGCATGGGTCCTCAGTGAAGTCTTTGCAGCTGTGCTGAAATACTTTTGTATGCTGTAATTAGTCCCACAATATGGTGTGCTGTGCAGGATGGAAAACACTGCCAGGGAAGTGGGTATTTCTCAATGGAGTGTAGCATGTATTTAAGGTCTTCCCCGACCCCGCAGTCCTGGCTAATGTTGGACTTCCAATTATCCTTGCTTCTTGGGAAAACTGTAAAGCACAATAGGAACATAAGATTTGCCACACTAGGTTTATAAGATGATTGATACTTTGCTTCTGGCAGTACACTGTGCTTGGTACTTAGGAGGAAGGCAAATCCATAATGCGCTTATTCAATTATTATTGTACATGGGAGGATGGGAATCCCTTTCTGTCTTCTATTTTCTTATGATAGTGGTACTGTTTAGTTAACCTGGCACAATGCTCCTTTTAGTGTTCCCTAATTAGTTTAATTGTTCTTGGATTAGAAATGAAACCATGAATGTAACTATGCCAAAATGCCAATGGTCGCCTATAGATGGTGCTGTAATTACAAGTTCAGATAAGGTTGCAGGCAACTTGGTGGCTGAGACCTCTAAATATAAATGAAAGGGAGCTTTGATTGAAGAGCTGCTCTTATGCACCATCAGTATTGTTGGGATTCCTTTGGCTGTTATACACTCTTTTTTATAAGATGCCCATCCACTGTAGTATGTGAGTGCATTGTATATAATCTAAACAATTGGATACGTTTCCCCAATAGGAGGCTCTGTGTCCTATGTATCTTAAAAGCTAACAACCTAAATTAAGAAAACATCAGCCAGGAGACTAATTGCTAGAAGAAAGAGATCCCAATACCTGTTGGCTGCTTTAAAAATGAGCATTTAAAAATGCTTTTTACCATTTGTGCATATCTTTAGTAGGCACCTGAAAAACCAACAAGTTATAGGGTTGAAAGATTCCGGGTCACCCAGGTGTTTGATTCTCTGATGGTAGCTGTAACTTCCCAGGCGAGGTAGTGAGCCTTCACTGCTCCCCTGACTGGGAAGGAATAAACTGGAGATTGCACAGGGGCCCCTGAAAAATGCATGTAGTCCTGGTTTCTGTGATTCCCCTTGAGAAACAGCCAGCCTTAACTATGAGCTAACTGATGATAATCTAGAAGTGCATTGGGTTCATTTTAGCCCAGTGACTCATAATTCACAGTGTGCATTCGGTTCAACAATGTACATTGCAACTTTCATTAAAAAGGAGCTGTTTTGATTGTTATGACTTTGTGTGGTATATTTGCTGGCTTCTTGCATAACGCCCGCACTAGGAGATAAGTATACTGTCACAAATGTGATTAAACTGGTGTTAATTTGCAATGCATAGCTTTCCCCCTGTTCTTAGAAGCTTTCCCCCCGTTCTTAGAAGAAAACATATGAATGTTAGTCCAAAAGCTATTCTGAAAATTGCTGTACAAAGTTGTGAATCTTTGAATTCAAATTCTGGCACATCTTAAAGTACATACCTGACTTATTTCCTTGTTTTTAATGGAATTTTGTTGATCTGAATTAGAGATACAAACGCTTAAAGGTACATAGAGAAAAATGGAGTTCCAAAAATAGTATGACTGTAATTAAAAAAAAAAAGAGAGAGAGAGAGAGAACTTTTTTCTATAGAGGCCCAAATGTAACATTTGGGCAGATGCATGGCTAAGATTGAATTGAACTTTATTTGGAGCTGCCTTCGTGTCTCTAATTCTGAAGTGGTTTCAGGAAGAACACTATGTGCCTTCTTGGGAACTGAGTCAGGTCTCAAAATAAATGACTAATGAAGTAATACAGTACTAAAGATTTCTTTTTATCAGATTTGCACAGCAAGGCTAGTGGAGAAATCTGTTGCTTAATAGCAACCAAGTAGAGTGCAAATTATTTTATTTATTTCATTGTTGTTGTTCCAATACAGATCTGAAACCCTGCAGCTGCATAATTTGGTTTGGAAGACAGAGAGCCAGTGTCAGGTTTAAAAAGGTTATATTTTCTCAAATCCAAATTGCAGTTGGTTACGGAATCAAAGACAATTTATCTCTGACTTCACTCTGCAGAGAATGTAACTGTAGGGGCTGTATTACAGGCATCTTAAAAAAGCCTGTCACCAGGGGGGGAAAATCACTTCTTTCCCTCTGTCCTGGTGTATGTCAACATTTTGGTCAGTCAATTTTCTTTAAAAACAAAAAAAATCCGCTTTCTCAATCAAAGGCAGGCAAAAACACATTAAACGGTGAAGGGAAACTTCAGCTGTTGCATCCACCCCCTTCCGTTTTCATTATCTAATCAACACACAGCTGCTTAATTACTTGAGTGCCATTTAATGGACCCTGTGTACCTATAGCTACTCTGCTAACTGACATGGTTGTGGTTTTAAAGGGACCTCTGCTCAAAATCTAGTCAATTTCAAAAAAGTTACAAGTAGCTTGAGGTCCTGCCCCTGACTCCCTCTGTCAGTTTACTTTATTTTATTATTGTGGTTTCGCAGACTTTTTTATTTAAAAAATGTGTTTGTCTCCCATGTTGCAGTGTGAAGGACATGCTGGGGGCCATGGTTTGTTGTGGGAAGCAAAATTGTCTATGCACAGAAAAGAGTGAAACTGGCTATACAAAATGCTGCAAAGAGATATTCCTCTTATTTTCTCAATTATATTAATCTTCAGTGACTTGTACTAGTTGAAAATGTTTGACAGAATTGTGCCCTTTTTTAAGGTTGATGGTGTCCCTTATTTAATAATGCTGCACAGAAGTAGCAAAAAAACCTTTTTCTTTAGCCTATGGGAAATAAACTGCAGGAGATCTGCATTCTTAAAATGTTGTTCTTGTAATTCGGTAAAGGCAAGCATTACAATATGTTTGGATGAGCATTTGAATTAGGCTCTGTAATACTCTCTTTGCACATTCTGAACTTAAACCTGGCTTTGAATAGAAGCTGGTTTTCTACATACCAATGTGGTGGTTTGTTTGTTTTTAACATAGTTTTTCTTTTGGGGAGGGGGGGGTGCATATGATGTGGCTTTCACTTGGTTTACAAATAAAATGGCTCATAATACAATAAACATGGGGTTTACAGATTCCTTACTTACTGAAATAAATTTTTAAAAAGGCTACCAAATGATATTCCCCCCTTAACAGCTTAGGTTAGGTTCATGGTTTAAAACTATGCCCTCTATTTACTTCTTTTTTTAAGTAAATTATGGTTTAGGATTAAGAATCCCATGCATTTATTTTTATATAGCAGTTGGCTGTTTGCTGTCATAAATTCCTGTCATGTCTATTGGCAGTTTCCCTCCCGTAGAGGAAAATCATTATTACTTCAGACAATTCCAACTGTTATATTGTGTTAGGGTGAAATCTTTTTTTGATTTATATATGTTTTTATGGCTAGACATTTTGTTCCTTTTTTTTCTTTTAACATAAAGTCCTTTCTTTTTTGTTCATACAAACACCCAGCGGAGATTTACAAAGTCCAGTTTCCATTTGGAGCTTGAAAGAGTCTGGCGTGATGATTTCTAGGAAGTGTGAATCAGGACTGATGTCATGTTTGTTTCGTTGAAATCCTAGCATGTGTAATACCTGTCTGTCTTCATAAGGTAGATTATACAGCTGCATCCTGTCCTCAGCTTTGCATAACCTTCTGTACACTGGATGTTAGCAACACCTATTTAGTGCAAATGGCTTGTAGTAAAATTCCACTTGGTAGTAAACACTTGGGTGGTAGCTGAGGGGTGGTTCGAAGAAAAACAACTTTAAGAAGGTTCCACTATATTTTTTAGACGGCCATTTTTTCCATGACAACATATGTGATGCCACATGTCTGGCAGTGGCTTTAGACAGTCTGAAAAATCATCAAAGTATAGAGGAAAATTAAAAAAAAAATGTCTGCAACCACAGAACATGGATGTAGAGAACATTCCAGAAAGTTGCTTCACAGCTGAAAATTGTCTTCTATCGTGCTTGTAATGATTGCCCAAGATTTTTCTAAAACAAGAGCCGGAATTCACTTCTGTACATATGGCTGTTTCAAAATCTGGATAAGAAAAGCATTTCATAGTGGTGACTAAATGTTCTGGATTCTAGGCACACGAGCACAGGCTTGTAATCTATGCCTATTGTGGCCTACTTCATTTGCCTGGGTGCGTTGATTACCATCATTCTCAGACTGGAGAGTTGAAAATGTTAAATGAAAGCCAGTGCTTTCCACTGCTCACACTAATGTGCTGGATTATGTTTGGGGAAACAACAGATTTGCAAGAATAAAAGATGCAGAAACAAGTTCTGCTTTTGATCAACTCCAGAATTCACAATGATTTAGCGGAGTTAAATCTGAGGACTGCAGTCCGCACGGGGTCCTTTTTGGCTAGACCCATTGTGACTGGGTATTACTGTGTGTTCCTGCTTAATGTTCAGTATACGGTAGTCCAGGCGCAACGTGTTGATTCAAGGGTGGAAGGGACAGCCTTAACTCTTGTTTTGTTTAGTTAGGCAGATTCTTATTCTTTCATATTCTGTGAACTTGGTTTATATAGTCACACTTGACGGGTATATTTAGACCTCAGTTTTTTCTTGTTTTTTTTTTAAACTTGTTTGTTGTTGCTCCTACATTACAGATTGTGTGCCGCCAAGTTAAATTTTCAGATAATCTTTGTAATGGTAAATAGCTAAAAACAAGTAAACACCCTCCCCACTCCCCTTTTCTTGAATTCCTAAGCAGCTTTGTGCCCAATTGCAATGGCTGTACAAAGTAAATGTTAACTGTTTTTTGTATTCCCCACAGGAAGCCATTTCCCAAACAGTTTGTTTACCAGCTGATTTGGTGGGCCGTGGAGCAGGAAAAGAGAAGGGTGTGAGAGAGACGTTAATAGAATCTGGAGGTTAAAAACTGAATCAAAACTTTTGGTCTCCTCAGTTTAAAAACAGTAAGTTAGAATGTGGGTTTTTTTTCTGTATGTTTGCATTCTTCTATCTTAATAGAATCATAGAATATCAGGGTTGGAAGGGATCTTAGGAGATCATCTAGTCCAACCCCCTGCTCAAAGCAGGACCAATCCCCAAATAAATCATCCCATCAGGGATTTGTCAAGCCTGACCTTAAAAACCTCTAAGGAAGAAGATTCCACCACTTCCCTAGGTAACCCATTCCAGTGCTTCACCACCGTCCTAGTGAAAAAGTTTTTCCTAATATCCAACCTAAACCTCCCCCACTGCAACTTGAGACTATTGCTCCTTGTTCTGTCATCTGCTACCACTGAGAACAGTCTAGATCCATCCTCTTTGGAACCTCCTTTCAGGTAGTTGAAAGCAGCTATCAAATCCCCCCTCATTCTTCTCTTCTGCAGACTAAATAATCCCAGTTTCCTCAGCCTCTCCTCGTAAGTCATGTGCTCCAGTCCCCTAATAATTTTCGTTGCCCTCCGCTGGACTCTTTCCAATTTTTCCACATCCTTCTTGTAGTGTGGGGCCCAAAACTGGACACAGTACTCCAGATGAGGCTTCACCAATGCTGAATAGAAGGGAATGATCACGTCCCTCGATCTGCTGGCAGTGCTCCTACTTATACAGCCCAAAATGCTGTTAGCCTTCTTGGCAACAAGGGCACGCTGTTGACTCATATCCAGCTTCTCATCCACTGTAACCCCTTGGTCCTTTTCTGCAGAACTGCTGCCTAGCCACTCAGTCCCTAGTCTGTAGCACTGCATGGGATTCTTCCTTCATAAGTACAGGACTTTGCACTTGTCCTTGTTGAACCTCATCAGATTTCTTTTGGCCCATTCCTCTAATTTGTCTAGGTCCCTCTGTATCCTATCCCTACCCTCCAGCGTATCTACCGCTCCTCCCAGTTTAGTGTCATCTGCAAACTTGCAGAGGGTGCAATCCACGCCATCGTCCAGATCGTTAATGAAGATATTGAACAAAACCAGCCCCAGGACCAACACTTGGGGCACTCTGCTTGTTAGCGGCTGCCAACTAGACAGTGCTTCAGAACGAAAGGTATCAAATTCTGCAATACTGGCCCATGTTAAATAAAACGAACCTTTACTATTGTCGCTAGATAGAGTAGAGAATGAAACACGCCGCTATATCACATTACATCTAAACTTTTATTCTCCAATTGAGAATATGTTTGACTTTGAACACATTCATGAGTTCCTGTGACTTCAGTGGTCCTTAAATATGCGCTTAAAGTTAAACATGTGCATAAGTGATTACTTAATAGATATGCGCTGCAGGGGATCAGGGCCTATTCAGGAAGGAGATGTCTACATTGATGTAATTTGATTATCCCTTCCTTTGCACCTGTTATGTCTCTCCCCCACCTCCCACATATCAACATTCCATTTAAATTAATGGCATATCAGGATGTGTGGTACATTGAGTAACTTAACAATTGTGTTCTATCTAGATGTACAGACCATCTAGAACAGGGGTGGGCAAACTTTTTGGCCCAAGGGCCACATCTGGGTATGGAGAGCCATGAATGCTCATGAAATTAGGAGGTGGGAGGGGGTGAGGGCCCTGGCTGGGGGTGCCGTCTCTGGGGTGGGACCAGAAATGGGGAGGTCAGGGTTCGGGAGGGAGCTCCAGGCTGGGACAGAGGTGTTTGGAGGGCAGAAGGGGGTCAGGGGTGCAGGCTCCAGGTGGCGCTTACCTCAAACAGCTCCTGGAAGCAGCAGTGTATCCCCGCTCCAGCTCCTACATGGAGGCATGGCCAGGTGCCTCTGCTTGCTACCCAATCCGCAGGCGCCGTCTCTGCAGCTCCCATTAGCCATGGTTCCTGGCCACTGGGAGCTGCGGGGATGGTGCTTGGGGTGGGGGCAGCATGAAGAACCCCCTAGTTCCCCCTACATGTAGGAGCTGGAGGAGGGACATGCTGCTGCTTCTGGGAGCCATGCAGAGCCACAGCACGTGTGGAGCGGGGCAAGCCCCAGACCCCACTCCACGTCAGGAGCTCAAGGGCCGGATTAAAATATCTGAAGGGCCGGATGTGGCCCCGGGCCATAGTTTATCCACCCCGATCTAGAAGCTGCCAAGTAATTTATCTTTCCACTTGGCTTTAATTTTTAGGACCTTCCAGGAATATTTTTTGACAGTCTGACATTAAACTAACAATATCTTAGTCTTGTAGTCAAAGTGGTGGGAGAACAGGACCTGGTTAGGATGTAAGTCTGTCAGAATGCCAGTTTCCTTTGTCTCAGATAATTAATTCCCTTCTTTTAGCCAGAATACACATGGTCCCACAAAAAAAAAAAGTCAGGCTTTGACATCTCAAAGCCAGTTTACTAGACTCTGTGCAAGCGTCTCTTTCTCTCTGCCAGAAGACTTAGTTAAATGCTCAGTGAGTGGCAGATTTTCTGTCATTGCTTGTTTCAAATGAATGGAAAACGTGGATCATAGCAAGCTAGACTGGCTACGTTTGTGTCTTTGAAAGGACTGCTATAAATTGCAGATAAGCCTGACCAAAGCACACCCTCTTTTATAGCAAAAGGCAGTTTCACTACACAGGGGTTCTCGGGCTCTTTCATAATGTGGGCCACATTTTAATAGAGAATCTTGTGAGCATCTCCCCTCTTGCTTGCTGTAATGCAGACCACCTCCCCTCCTATTCACAGTTGTATAACATCCCTGTGGTGACGACAGTAATTGCTTACATAAAAAAGTAATACTGAGGATGTACTGAATGTGTTTTTAATAGTCTCTTAATGTGATTGAGCAACTGGAAATAAAGAGAGCCAGCATCTATTGACCAACCAGTTCTTGGCAGACAGGCAGCAACTGCTGCAGTCCTTTGGCCATGGTTTCTGCACTAGACCGTTGATCATTCTTGAGATTAGGCTGGCCATAGCCTGGTGATAGAGGTTGGTATCCGGGACTGATTTAATAAATGATCTCCTTTCAAATTCTTCTGCCCCTGGTTAATTGGTTGTGGTGATGGGAACTGCCTGAACGTTGGCATTATGTAGGCAATAAGGGAGTGCTTATTCTGTTGTGATAGGTGCTTGTTGGAACTGTGGGAGAGCCCAGCAGTAACTTGCGGGCACATGGCAAAATTGTCCAGTAGTTTAGAGCACAGAACTTCGAGTTGGGACTTTGGGTTTCCATTCCTGGCTCTGCCACTGGCTCGTTTTTGTAACGCTTGGCAAGTCACATAAATCTTTCTGTACCTCATCATCCACACCAATAAAATAGGACAATGTGTAACTGCTGGCTTGGGGAGTTCTGAGGCTTTGTGATATTTGTAGAGAATTTTGAGATCCTTGGATGTGAGTGCTGTAGAACGGTTTATAGAAGCTGTGTAGAGAGAGAAAAAGGCTACCCTCTTGTTGGCTGGGGTAAGTACCCCTTTTTTGGGATGCAGTAGGGTTTGGTTGGTAGCTTTTTTGTTGTTGTTTGGATTAATATCCATAGCTACAGATGAGCTCTTAAATACTGAATAAACCTTATGGTGGATGCCCCAAGGAAAAAAAAACCCTTCTCAATTAAAACTAAAAAAAAAAGAGAGAGAGAGATATAGGAGTGGCTTTGCCTTAACTGATTCTTTGAGTGTATAGTGCACAAAATATTTATAATTTAAAAAAAAAATACAGAGTATAAAGATGAATATCACTGGAAAAGAGAGCTCTGAAGGAACACTGTCAATCTAAAATGCAATCCGTTTTTTAAAAAAGTTAGATAATTTCACAGTTCTATGTGCCACTAAGTCCCTCTGCTGAGGTTTCTGGCTTTAGGACATTTAAAGATTGTTGTTTTTCTTTTCCCCCTGTTGCAGCCTGCGAAATCCACAGATTACAGAGGAAATTAAATAAACACCTGCTTTTTACTTTTCTGTTTGTTTGTTTATAACATGTATTTAACAACACTGTCTCTAGTCAGTTTCCCCTGTTAGCATGAGTTCAAAGTCATGTTTGCCTTTAAAGGTGGATGTATCCTTACCAAATGATTTCTCTACTTCTTAAACTTGAAAACTCCGTTTTCTGTTTATAAATCCCTGAATGACTGATTTCTCCCACTGATTTCTATTAGCCTCAACCCCAAAGGCAGTGGGAAAGTTTCACCATTGTAACTAGTTTAATAGATCTGTTTTATGTCTAAACACAATTGCTTTCTAGTTCAACGTCATGCATTTCCTTGATTATGCATTGCACAGCAGTGCAGCTACCAAAATAGAATAATGATTTTAAGGAAATTGCCAGGAAATATTTTTAAAACTTCAGGCAATTCCTTTCTCATCAGGGGGGTATTGTAAAACATGTGTCCTTGATGGAGAAAATTGCCTTATTGTCAAAGCCTCAGCCGGTTGCGCAATGAGTCCAGACGAGCACGGTGTTTTTGCAGGGCTGTCTGTGCTTACACAAATTCTATCCTCCATCCTTCTGACCTTGTTGCCAACTCACTGTCACTATTGTCTCATGCAGCTTGCAAGATTTGGTATTTTTCTTAAAGCTCCAGCCCCTGTGGTTCTGCACATATGTGAGAATCTCATCTTTCTTTCTTAACAAGGGCAAGTTTTTAGCCCTTTTTTGTTGCAGTGAGAACCACAAAACATGACCTGATGCACCCTAAAGGCTAATAAAGAGCCCCACACTTATTATGGTAAAAAATCCTTATGATTTTTTTTTTTTTTTTGGCAGGGCATGATTCATGATTTTTGAACTCTCCTCCCCCTCTACCTTCCCCACCCTGAGTGGTGTGTTCTTTCAGGTAATGTCCATGTCCTGTATCTTTTTCAACGAGAATTGTTTGCAGCAATGGGCTCCAACAGGAAATCCAGCTTACCAGGCGCATTGGGCCCTGTGTGTCTCTTCTCTGCAATCCCCCTCTGAACTGTGTGTTTAAAAGACAAACTTATTTTAATCTTTCTCTGAGGCCTGTAGTCTGTGAGCAGTGGAAAGCAGAGGAACATGGAAGAGCAAAATGAAGGAGGTGGAAGTGGGAAGAGGCATAGGGCAAAAAGAATAATGTGTGGTGAGAAGAGATACCAGATCGAGGGGAAGGAAAGCAATATTGCCAGCCCTCAGTGTTCAAAAATCATGAGTCAGGACCCCTGAAATTGTGCGATTTGCTTAACAAATCATGGGTTTTGAAACCAAAACAAAAAACATGGGGTTCTTTTTATTTGACTTTTGGCTTTTGAACCTTTTTGGGTATGTCTCTGCGCAGCTGGGGGTGTGATTCTCAGCCCAGGTACTCAGACTTGCAGTAGCTTAGCTTGACCTAGGTCGCTGAAAGTACCAGTGTGGCTGTTGTGTCCTGGGCAGCGGCTAGCCATCTGAGTCCAAGCCTGCCCAACCTCCTACATCCAAGCATGGGTGGCTAGCCCAAACCACTGCTCATTCTGTAGCATCAACACTGCTATTTTAGGACACTAACTCAAGCTAAGCTAATGTGACTCTGTCGACATGTTAGGAATCACACCTCCCAGGTGCAGTGCAGATGTACCCAAGGGCACACTTCAGTCACGTTGTCAAGCTTTTCTCTGCAGCCATGTGGGTTAAACCCTATTCTAAAAAAAAAGCTGAGATTTGTATGTAAGCAGAGGATTCCAGGAACTGGGGCTTAAAGAAAAATACCAAGTGTCTTGTGACTTGTTTTACTGCGAGTGTCAGCAACACAGGGAAAAAGAAGAGACATTGACAGGACAAAAAGGGGGAGCGGTGGGTCTTAAAAGGCAACAGTCATGCAGAGATTTTAGGATGTCAGCTCACTGGCACAAGAACTATACTTCCCTGCATGTCTGTACAGTGCTGAGCGTATTTTGGATATAGATCTCAATTTTTTTTTCAAAAAATGAGATGGACCAGGAGGATGGGCAAGAAGAAACAACAAGGAATCTGGGGTGGTGGTGCTGCTTTTAAAAATAGCTTTTGGTTTTGATTTTCCAAAGACACAGAAAATAATCCTCTATGGGAAATGGTTGACATATACTGTGGGCGTAAAGTAATTTGCAGTACAATGCACAAAAAGGTTAGTGTTCTAAATAACTTTCTCCGCTTGTGGGCCCTGAAACAGCTCCTCGGTGATTGGGCTTATTTGGTTGATGGATGAGAGGGAGTTTGCACATCTATGGTTTTCCATGCCCTTGTAAACAGAAATGTCTACCTTTTAGGGAATGAAGGCGTTTTCTATGTTACTTGGCATCTTGATCAGTAAACTTAACACGCATGCTGATCACCTTGTGTTTGGAAGCTTCGTGGTAACAAGGACGCTGGGCTGGTCCAGGCTGTATGTTTGTCTAAAATGTGTTCCTCTCTAAGATCCTGGAAGGAATGGCTAGTGTATCTCTGACGGGGGCAGTGCTTGTGCCTGTCTATTACAGTTGGTCAGGAGGCCGAGACTGTCATCCATGCCTTTGTCACCACTCTGCTAAGCTTCTACTATAATGTGCTACTCTTGCAATCTAGGGATGCAGAACACAGCTGTCTGTTAGCTAACCAGAATGGGACACTTGGGGCATACAATTCTGGTGCTCAGGTCTCTGTCCTGGCTTTCTGCTCTGCTTGGGTTCCACTTCAGCACGTCGGTGCGAATCTTTCAAACCCAGAATTGTCTGGAGTTCATCTGCCTGAGACTCTTTGACTTTTTGTCCCATCATAGGAGTTGATTATCTAGCTCTTGCTCTGGTTCCCTGGTGTTCAACCTTCCAGGGCCAATGGCAAAACTCATCTGAGGGTGTTCCATGGATTGATACGCTGATTTGTGATGTCACAGTGTTGCCTCAAAACATGGCAGTGATTGATTGACAATGACAGAACATAAGGATGTGAAACCAGGCTAACTTTACACCTCTCTGTGACTCCATGTATTGAGTGATTGTGTGAGGTTATCGCTGATCTCTATTGCTAAAAAGATCCTCAAAGAATTAACAAGACTTTTAGTAGCTGAAAACCCATGCTGTCACACAGGTGTAACTTGTATTTATTAAAAACCAAAAATGGCTGCAAACTTAAATTGGACAGGAACAGACTACCAGTCCTACTGATGATTGAACCTGGTGATATTCTATCAAAAAGAGCTCTCCACCATGCTTGTAGCTGTTTCATCACTTCACGCTGATTCAACAGACATTTTAGGCTGCCGAGTGACACTCCTGGAATCCTCCTATAGAGATGGCAGTGGTGGTGAAGTCATACTGGCTATTCAGAGGAAACCTTGCATGGAGAAATCTGGCTTTCATTGACTGTTAAAAAGTTGTTCCCAGTCACTAACAGTGCAATGGGAGATCAGATTGGTCTAGTCCTGTTTGCGTATACAAGGCAGATTCTGTGTTTTACGAATTTTCTTTTTAACAATTCGTGGCTTCTGTCCTCCATAGAAAGGGATGTTCCACTTTGCATATGTAGACCAGTTTTATGCTAATAGATTTTCTTTCCTGCAAAGGTCAGATGGGTCAGTGCTCTTGCACTGGGTGCCTTAGAGGAGCGTAGACCTGTGAAAATACAAATTGCAGTTGAGCGTGGTGTATTGTATGTGTTTTGACAGCATCTGTGCTTATGAAAGTAGACAATGACAACTGACGAGGCCACAAAGAATGAAGAAGTCCAGACAGCAGCTCTTGCTGAACAAGGAGAGGACATCACACCCAATCAAGATCGAGGGGTTCTGAAGGTGAGGTCATTGCCAAAGCTAATGGCACATTTCAATAGCTGCTACACTCCTAATTCAGTGACTCTAGAGCACGTACACATCTGTTAACTGTCTGAATGTTAGTGGCATGGGTTGTCTTACAGCTTCCAGCACAATAAAGCTGAGATTTTTCAAAGTTGTGTAGGGGATTTAGTTGTCCAATTCCCTTTACAAAAATAGGAAGACTTAAATGGCATGGAGATCACAACTGCAGTACAGATATCAGCCTTCACTGTGAATTTCACTGCTAGTGTATGTCTAATCAGATCTTTAGCAGTACATCCATGCAGTATATGTATGTATTACTCATAGGCTTTTCCCTAGATCTAATTTCTATTACTTGGGTCGTCTAGTCTGCTGCTCAGCCCCTTTTCCTACTGGAGGCAAATCCAGGATTGTTCTGCAGTATATTTTCGAGGGCTTCATCCTATCTGTTGAATATAACGATTTCCCCAGTGATATCTCCTCTGCGCACATTCCCCGCTCCTTTTAGCTGAAGAACTGCCTTCTCCAAACAGTAGCATAAAAGAATTTTGACCAAAAACGAATGGAATGATTTTACCCCTATGGATGTGGCATTCCACTGGCAGCAAGTAAATATTATTTTACTGACTAGATTCCTAAATATGGTACTTAAACACATCCCTGTATAATTGTAAAGCCTCTATAGCTCTCCCTATTGTGGCCTGTACAAATCCCTATATATGTGATGGGAAACAACTAATGCTATTTATTGATTTTTATTTTGGGGGGACAAATTTAATAAAAAGGTTATTTCAGTCATTACCTCTTTAGATTTCTGCCATCATGAGTTGGAAGACAGGGTTGATCTAGAGATCTGGTTCTTGCAGAAGATAGCTTGAATAGCCATGGCCATTGGGAGGCCGAATCAGCATCCCTAGATCGCCATGGAAATAAAAACGTGCTCTGAAAACGTGCTCTGGGTTCAAACGTGGCATAAAAAAAAATCTTCCCTTGAATATACCTGTGAAAGCTCAGCAATTTTACTTAAACACTGGATCAGAGGTACTACTTAAACTGAAAAACAAGACCGTGTTGTTGTGCTACCAACTATAGGCCTGCTGGCTAGTACGCAACATTCATTGGGCTTGTTCTCTGGGATTGGGACTGTGCAAGGAACTGTGAGGTGGGTGTTTTGTTGCGCTGCTGGAACCAATGAGGCTGGGGTGCGCCAGCTGTGCCTTATTATTCAAAATATGCTTTGTGTTCTGGGAGTTTGGAGTTGTTGGAAAGAGGAGCTTAGCTGCATGGTTGTGTCTAGAACCTAGACATTTGCCTAGAGTAGAAAAGCTGTGGGACTCCGTCAACTGAAGCCGCCTGTTTGTTGAAATGGACTCTTCCCATCTTCATCCTAGTTGTCCTTCTCTCTCCTAGGTTGTGAAGAGGCCTGGTAATGAGGATAAATCCCCTATGATTGGAGACAAGGTTTATGTTCACTATAAAGGAAAGCTGGCCAATGGAAAAAAATTTGATTCCAGCCGTGACAGGAATGAGCCATTTATTTTCAGTCTGGGGAAAGGTAAGGAGTGAAATGGAAATGCAATCTCAGGGATCCAAAGTGCATTTTCTCTGGATAATGTCAGTTTGTTGATACATAATTCTATTGTTAGAGAGAGCTCATGATTAAGCGGAATGAACACAAGACTGGGAATAAGGAAATTTTAGGTTGTAATACTGGTTCTGTTGCTGAGTAGATGTGGCTGTGCGTGATTGTCACTGTGTGTGTCTGTTAAGGGCCCCTGGGGTGTTGAGATCATATTTTATAGGCCCAAATTTCCAAATGTTTCCTGCTTTTGGGTGCCTCTGGAAATCTGACTGTAGGTGTCTAATATCTAGCAGTTTACATTAAGTCAATGGTTGATGCTTGTGCTCAGCACCTCTGAGAATCTGTCTGTGGGTGCTCAAAATCCGATCACAATGGAAATATATATTTCCTTCCCCTCTCATTTTGTGTGCTGCTTTACCCATTCCTGCTGTCCACATAGTTATAGCCTTTTGCAAAATCATAGAATCATAGAATATCAGGGTTGGAAGGGACCTCAGGAGGTCATCTAGTCCAACCCCCTGCTCAAAAGCAGGACCCATCCCCAATTAAATCATCCCAGCCAGGGCTTTGTCAAGCCTGACCTTAAAAACTTCTAAGGAAGGAGATTCCACCACCTCCCTAGGCAAAATGGATTTTTAAAGTGTGCTTCATGTTGAGTGTGACAGGATTTGAACTGCATACCTGCCTATTTGTATCTTTTGCAGCCAGTGGTAACCTTTATACCCCCCAGCTTGAATAATGACTGAAGAACTCTATCATGAAGTTTTAGAGTTCCTGTTGTCAGGCAGATGTCACTAGTAACATAAACATGGGGAGAGGGGAGAGTATAGCTATATTGAATTAAAAATATAAAGGCATTATTTCTAATTAGAATGCTTCCTTTTCAAAGCTCTTATGAGATGTCAGCAGACCTTCAAGGCAATTTGGTTTTGGCCTTCCTGAGCAACAAAGGGAGTTACGCTTAGACAAATGAAATTCTACCTTCTGTTTGCTATGTGGCAGGTTGAGAACAAAAAGGAATTGTTTTGGAGTACATGGTTTTTAATTATTATTATTATTATTTTAAATTAAGGACCACCATTTACTAACGGCCTCTATTTACTAAGATTGCATTCCCCTTTATGGCCCTTAAGCTTACAGAATGGAAACTTTTGCTCCTGTAATGGCTTACAGCTTCAAAATCCTTCTGTAGAAAGTGGACAGGAGAACATGGAACAGACTCCTGGACTGTGAAGTTTATGTAACTCTCTCTATAGAATTTGGGGTATTAAGCCAGAAGAACAGCTTAGTGCAATAGTCCTTCCCTCCTAGAACTCTGTTGTAGGGCCTTTCATGCAAGCTTGTGGGAAACTCGTGTGGAGCTGCCCTCCACTCCCAGGGGGCGTCAACACACCCTTTGTAGCCACTCTGGCCATATCCCCTCCACAGCCCCACTCTAGCACCTAAATAACACAGAGTGTTATGCAGGCTCTCCGTGTTGGGGTGATGTTCTCCACTAATGTGGAGGGGGCTGCAACAAGTTTCCATGACCGACTTTTCTGACGTACGCTTCAGTGTGTCCCTAGATTATGATGACCGCTGGATCTGATGGATTCCTTGTAGTAGTTGAGTTGTGTAGCTGTTGTGACTCTTATTGTATTGGTTTCATGACCACAAGTAAAGACCGTAAATGCACAGATATAGCAGAGCGTTTGAAAAAAGAAAACGGACTGTGTCTAGAACTTGTTTTTGGCAATTTCATGTTATAAATCATTCCCCCGTATTGAATCATGTCCTTCTCTTAGGCCAGGTAATCAAGGCATGGGACATTGGGGTTGCCACCATGAAGAAAGGGGAGATCTGCCACTTGCTGTGTAAACCAGAATATGCGTATGGCTCGGCTGGCAGCGTCCCGAAAATCCCTTCCAATGCAACCCTCTTTTTCGAGGCAAGTATGTGTAAGAGTGTTGGTATGGAAACTCCCTCCCTTGGGACATGCTGTTATAAACCAATTCAACACAGCAGTTGGCTTCTTGAATTGTTTTCCCCCCACCTTCAGCAACTCATGCCCATGCTTTCTCAGAAATATACGTCTAAACTAGAGAAGCAGAGCCCAAACAGGATCTGAAGCTACGAAGCCCAGAAAAGAAGCCTTAACTTGGAAGCATATGGAAAACACCTACACAAATAGGACCCAGACTCTGTTAATTTTCTGGGGGGGGGTGTTTGTACATCTATAAAATAGGGGGAGGGCAGCTCAAAAATGTTTTCACATCATAAAAATCCATTAATACCAGTGAGCTAAATCAAAATAAGAGTTGGCATGGAGCAGCTGTTGGTCAGCCAAACTGAGCACATTTTGTACGTGTTCACTTGGCAAAACCTCTCAAATAAAAGTGTGCAAAACCCAACAGAAGTAAAGCATCTTTAGTTAATTAAGGCTCAGATTGTCCCAGCTCTGGCTGCAATTAATTGCCTTGGAGAGCCACTGGCCTCAGTGTGCCTGTTTTCATTGTCAGCAGGCTTAATGGCCTCTTTCTTAGTGGTGCTATGTCTGGCCAGCAGAGACCGAGAAGGGCAACAGAAATGATTAGGGGTATGGAACAGCTTCCATGACTGGAACTGTTTTGCTTAGAAAAGGGATGACTAAGAGGGGGAGATGTGATAGAGGCCCATAAAATCATGAATGGTGTCAAGAAAGTGAATAGGGAAGTGTTGTTTACCCCTTTACAGCATGCAAGAGCCAGTGGTTACCCAATTAAATTAATAGGCAGCAGGTTTAAAACAAACATCAGGAAGTATTTCTTCACACAACGCATAGTTAGCCTGTGGAACTCTTTGCCAGGGGATGTTGTGAAGGCCAGTAATATAACTGGATTCAAAAAAATAATTAGATAAGTCATGGAGAATAGGTCCATCAATGACTATTAGCCAAGATGCTCAGGGATGCAATCCCATGCTCTGGGTGTCCCTAAACCTCTAACTGCCAGCAGCTGGGAGTGGATGGCGGGATGGATAACTCAATAATTGCCATGTTCTGTTCATTCCCTCGAATGAACATCTGGCATCGGCCACTGTCAGAAGACAGAATATTGGGATAGATGGACCATTGGTCTGACCCAGTGTGGCCATTCTTATGGTCTGTTACCTAGGGCAGTTTTCACAGAATCGCACATCACTGTTTGAATTACATCCTTACAGGATTAGTATGCTCTAGTTTTATTCTTTCTCTGTGCTACTTTTCAGATATTATGCACATTCCAGTTTTTAATAAATCGGACCTGTTCCCTACCTTAGAGCTGGCTTTTATGGGCTTCTTCCAGTTGTCAGCTGAATTGGTTTTCCACATCTACGATCAACTGTTATCTTTTATTTATTTATTTAGATCGAACTTCTTAATTTCAAAGGGGAGGATTTATTTGAGGATGGAGGAATCATCCGGAGAATCAAACGGAAAGGGGAAGGATACTCCAACCCAAATGAAGGAGCTACCGTAGAAAGTGAGTACCGGCTTGGCTGCCCGAGTAACTAAACTCACCTTAACAGCCAAGTGCAAATGAAGCCTGTGTAATAGCATTTCAGGGGATTTGCAGCACTGTAGCCATCTCTGACGATGAAGCAGGTTGACAGGGTTGTTTCTGAGGAGTGCTGGGAGAGTCATCCATCATCTGTTTGCCAGTCTATATTTTGTACCGTCTCTGTGTGACCAGATCAGACCCTGCAGCTGTGCCAGAAGGGGGTTCCTAAAGCAAGTGTTCTAGCTCAAAGACTGGAGTGTGCCATTTGTCCAATAGCACACAAGGTGTCTATGTAGAGGACACTGGCCATGGTTTGTGTGGTTTTGTGTGAAGACAGGGTGACATGGGAGGGGGGGAGGAGGAAGTCGAAGAGAGAGGCAGTTAACTCTCAGCCTGAGAGTGTCAGCATTTAATATGTTAACACAATTCTTCCTTCCTTAGCCAGTCCAGAGCCACTGACTCATAAGGGTTTAATGGAAAGCAGCTAGGTGCTGATGAAATGACCACTGAGGTATAACTCAGGCTTTTTTCTCTCTGAGTCACCCTGGTCCTCATTTTGTCGACGGCCCCCTCTGGCTTTGATAAACAAACCAACACTAAATTGTGCAACCAGTTCTCCTTAGTTTGATGTGGAAACTTTGAAGAAAATTCGGCATGTACGGTATGAGTTCTGTCTCCTTGGTTGTCTTCCTTTATTCATTAATTTTTTTTTTTTGAAGATTTTCCATTCTCGTGTTGCGGTCTGAAAGCCGCTGTAATGCAGTAGGGGACCATGTGTGGGCTGCTTTGTATATCCAAACTCTGGATTTTCTTGTGTATATGTGATTAAAATCACCGCCTCTATTTAGCTACTACTGTAGCTTTTACTTGAGTCCAATATTTATTAAATGTTACAGGCATGCATGTCTTGGCCTAAACTAGGTAGCTTCCTATTTTCATAGTCCTTTACAATGTTTGGGTTGCATCTATAATACAATTAAGGCTTTTCTTTCCCTCTCCCTGTGGCCAGAATACTACTGCTACCTTTGGATGGCTACTACCGAGTAGGCATAGATTAATGAGAAGGGCCTACTGAAGTCAGTACTGTTCTATGGGTTTAATTGAAGTCCTAATCTGGCCCAGAAGCCGTGATCTGAAATCCCATTCAGATTTCTTATAGCACTCTTTCCATCAATATGATGGAGTAATTATAGCTTCTCTTCTAAAGCAGCTATTTGATGTGGAGTGGAAGGATGAAGGAAGCCAAGTTTAAAGAGAACAATTGAACCATAGAATTAGAGAGAAATGGAAGCCTTGGCCATTTTGAATGGCTAAATTGTACATTTAGGATTAGCTGGTCCCCCTTCTCCCTATGTCAGAGCTTCTGTACGGTATGAGTTTATGAATCTTTTTGGGAGGGGAGAAATTGATCTGAATTGTCACATTCAACTTGTTAAGCCTATTAATTTAAATGTCTAGTCCTTTAGCGGGACTGATTTTAGAGAGAACTCCTTTGGACTCTAATTTCACTCTGCCTATGGAATGTTTTGGGTCATGGTTATGTGTACTGAGAGAAGTTTTGTGTAAAGTTTCAAGCTTGCTTTATTGTACCTAGAGGCCAAGTTAAAAAAAATAAATCAAAGTAGATACCAGTTTAATAGTCCTGACTGCTGCATTCCTTTTTATTGCTTATGTTTTGGTTTCATTTAAACATCAAAACCCATTATGCTTTTGTGTGCTCAGGAAGTTTGTAACGAGACACACAATTATGTTTATTACGCCACAAAGTAACAAATAGAACAAAGCACTGTTCTTATTTAGAGCACAAATAATTTGTTTTTAATCGCTAGGAAGTGGTTTGATTTGTCAGAAAGAGGAAAACATATCAATTTAATCAGCAATTTGGCTCTTCCTTAAGCATAGATTCTAGGGCCAGAAGGGACCATAGTGATGATCTAGTCTGACGTCCTGCATAACACAGACCATAGAACGTCCCAAAATAATCGCTAGAGCAGATCCTTTAGAAAAATATACAATCTTGATTTAAAACATCCTGATATAGCAGTTCTTTAAAGACTCCCTCAGAGTGGTGGTTAGTAGTGGGCCCTTCTCATGGCACATGATTATAAATCCTCCTTTAATTTTTTTTTAACTATTTAAAAAGTACACTTTCTTCTTAGCTTATTGCATTAATTTGGACACAGGCATAGTCAGGATAGTGGAGATTAATGCCCTCTGAGGCAGTTTTGCATAACACATGCAGCCTGTGCAAGGCAGAGGTCAAGAACTGTTTACTAATCCTATTCCCAAAAGTTGCGCTGTGCTAGCAGTTTGGTTCGGAGCAAGTTACCAATGTGGCCTTCAGTTTCATTCTGATCTAACGAGCTGCCCAGGGCCTGGGTTTCCTTAAATGTGCTTTAAGGACGGGGCACATTTCAGACCTGGCAGCCTCTTAACAGTATTTTGGTTGCTACCATGCTGTCTGTCTGTCTCTCCCTCTCCCTCTCTCTCTCTTTCTCTGAGTGTCCCATTCTAGACTCCATATCTGGCACAAGGTGGTAGGATCAGACACAGGTAGTGGGATTAGGATGGCACAAAACCAGAGGAATAGCAATGATCTGTCATAATAATCTATTTTCAACCAGACAGCAGCCACATTTTCACTCTTAAAATATTTCCATTGTGTTCTAGTAAAAACCCAGTGTTAACTCAGAAACTAGTACAAAGGTACCTGCCATCACTGCTATAATTAGACTGGAGGAAAACGTGCTTTTACCAGAACTGACATCTCTGGGTTGGATTTTCAAAGGCAATGTAATTAGCTTGAGTTATAGGGCATAATTCAGAGTCCCACTTCCTAAGACACAGCCTAGAGTAGAATTTTTGCATTCTAGCTTTTGTTACAGCCTTTTTTCTGTTTTAATAGGAGTACAAATTGCAGTCAGCACATTGGGTTCATGTGCCAGCCACATTCAGAACACAGCGTTCTGTGCTCTTCAAAACAAAATCGCTCTAGGCACTGAGAGAACAATAAGTCAGCGCTGCAGCTGAAGTGATGTTCTGCAGCCGGGCTGGGGTTTCTTGCTGTGTACTCCAAGTGTAACTGTATCCAAACGAGCTGCTTTAGATACCTCTTAAATGCACTTGGAAAAACAGAACAGGATACTTTCCTGTTGCCGTTATATTTCCATATAATTAAAACAGAATAAAATTACTGTGCTTGAATTCGTAGCAAGTCTGTGAAAGGCCAGCTGGAAGCTTCATGCCATCCTGTATGTTCTATTCTTAAAGCTTGCACCTTAGATCACTGTCTTCGCATGCTGGCAGAGGCTGGCAACAGATTAACTGTGAATGCCATACTGCTAGAACCAGGACTCTTACATCAAACTCACAGAATTATTCTGGTGAAGGCAAGGATTTGGGAAACTGGGAGCGCTTGTTTCAATGAGCCTTCTTTTCCCCCTTAAGGCAGCATGGAATTGGAGTAGCAAGGAGCTCCCTCTCCAGCTCAGTCTCTTGGCTTATTCCCGACAGTGATTCCTGCTGGTTTCAATGATTATAATAACCTGGATAGCCCCATTATTGTGCTTGGTGTTTACAGGCAATAGCAGGCCAGATATCTGCGCCAAAGCAAAGGAGGAGGGAGGCTTTACGTGGTACTGTAAGGTTATCAGCTTACTTGTTTTCAAAATGTACGCTGAGAATTGCTGTGGGAGTGTGTGAGGTGCACTGTTCTTTGTTAAAGCAGAAAACCAAGGTGACTTGGCGGTAATGGAAGAGTGTAGGTCAGGAGTCACCGAGCTTTCGGCAAGGGCTGGCTGGGATAACAAGGATTCCTTTTCACGAAAAATGGAGGTTTCTAAATCTGTTTATGTTCCCCCACAGACCTTTCGAACCCTTTTGCAAAAAAAAGGCGTGGGGGGAGGGAGCAGATTTGGAGCTAGGGCTTGAACCTGGGTTTCCCACATACAAGGAGAGTGCTCTAACCACTGGGCAGTTGGCTATTCTGAGGGGCGGTGTTCCCATCTGTCTCTTGCGCTCTCGTTTTTGGACCCGAGAAACCTTCCTAACTAAAGTTTTGTTAGAATTGATACGTTTGCGCAAAGAGTTTCAGTTTCAAGGAATTGGTATTTTCCCACAGAAACATTTCATCAAAAACGTCCTGACCAGCTCTCCTCTCTCCAATGGGTGCCCTTTCATATCATTCATATAGGGGCCCTCGTTCAGCAGTGGGATAAGCCAAAAATCTGTGATTTCCTGTAGCTCTGTCTTGTGGTGTAGGGAACTGTGATGTTTAGTGGATTGCTCCGACCAACGAGGAGTTCTGTCACTGCCTGTCCGGTAACTTTGGGTGCCTTTATGCTGTGCAGCGTTGGTTCAAGGCCCTCACATTGGTAGCCTTCCCACAAGCAAAAGGTCTCACCCTAGCTTCTACCAGCCTAGTTACTCTTTGCAGGGTGATACCTGCAGCCCATCCAGTCCCGAGTCCCCCCAAATCTGTCCTTCCAGGGTTCTTAAGTACGAGACACTTGGACTTTTTCTCTCTGCTTTGTCACCCCCCCGTCCCCTGCCCCCAGGCATGAAACCAGCCACCCTGACACCAGCTTCTTTTAGGATGTGTGCTCCACACAGTTTGCACACCAGAGACCTGATTGGGTAAAAATAAACAAAAAGTTTAGTTAATAAAAAAACCCCAGATTGAAAAATGAAATTGTCAGGGAAGAAAATAAACTGAAAGACACAACCTTAGGCTTTACACTTCCATATTAAATAAAATCCCTTTTCAAATGCAAGTTTCCTGTTGCTTGGGAGCTGTTTCCCAGCGTACCCCTTGACCTGAATGACAAACCTCAGACACAAGCCTGCTTTTTAAAAGGCTTTTTTTCTCTCTGTCCATGGTGTTTTCATGTTTATTCAGAGCAGAGGAAATTCCCTCTTGACTTGATAGCTGAGGATGTCTCAGTGTCTTCCGGTTAACTCCTAATGGTCCACCATTGTCCTTTCCTAGGCTGCACAATCAGCCATTTCTTGGAACTGGGTAGTGTAAACGCCTGGTTTGGGAGGTGCCCCTCCCCGCTTAACTGCTCCCAGCCCTGCTGCGAGGGGTAACGAAATGTTGCAACACAGAGTATGTGCAGGATTTTGTATACACACAAATACCTACGTTCATAACCACAGTCTGTATACGTATCTCATAGTGACCCCCCAGTTCAGAACACGGCAAGTGTTCATAAAATACAGCTTGCAGTCAGTTGGTTCAGCTGTTGGTTTTGGGGAAGGTTCAACCTTACGTTCTCCCCTTGGAGTCTCTTGACCCTGATCGTCATAGGACCTCTGTTACCAATTGCACGAAACTTGTCACGCTGTGCTTTCTAGTTCAGTGACTGGCCAGCCACGCACTGGCCTGCTCTTCTAGTTCTTAGCTATAGATGACCGATGCAAGACATGTCCCGAGGCTGTTAGGCAACTCCAGAGCGTCATCACAATCCCTGTCCTTCTCTGCAGTATTCCAGGTGCAGCATCAGTGCTAAGATGTGGCTTTGTTAACCTGATAAAGATGCATATATCTCTCTCTAGTGATCGCATTTTGTAAAAGTTCCAAACGCCTCTAACTGTGATTAAATGGAAACTGGATTAGTCATCCATGTTGTGGGCTGGAATTTCCCAAAACCACACAACCGTGCAGATGCAGCGATAGCACCAAGAAGAATGGCAGGTTCACCCAGTGCTCAAAGACGGATCTGTCTCATCAGAAGGCTGTTTAACTGCTGTGTGCTGAACTGGGGTGGTTCCTGCCAGGCAGAGGGCACAAAGCAAGATAACCTCTGCATGACAGAGGTTTGCCAGCTCTCTACAAGAGAGCTCAGTAGTTCTTCCTGTGTGTCATTATGTTACTCCTATTTGTCTATTTTATCAACCTCTGACACTGAAATGGATTCTCCTTCAGGTTGTCCTGGAGAGCATTTTAGTTTGATATTTTCTCTCTATTCATTACCACTTGTAGTAACTTTCCTCGTGGATTGTATTTTCTAAATGGACAACCTACCCTAAATTCTCAATTACTGAGGGACCATCTTCACTCATTGCTGTATTTGCATTCCACAACCAACTCTCTGTATAACATTTCCTGAGGGATGTACCTGAATACTTGGATGCTAATATCTAAACTGTATTCTTAAATTTATTCACCTAAATTTGGGTCATTTCTGATTATGCACTATATGTATCTTATGACTTTAAAAACAAACTTTGTATTTGTGACAGGTTTCAGAGGAACAGCCGTGTTAGTCTGTATTCGCAAAAAGAAAAGGAGTACTTGTGGCACCTTAGAGACTAACCAATTTACGAAAGCTCATGCTCAAATAAATTGGTTAGTCTCTAAGGTGCCACAAGTCCTCCTTTTCTTTTTGTATTTGTGGATAATCTAAGCACTATACTCAGATCTACGGACACTCTTTTCTTAACCTGTGTACTATATAATTTTTTAACATTAGCTTTAATAAAATGTATAAATCTGTTAGCCCTTATGGGAAACATCTGGGCTGGTGCAGCAGCACCTGTGGAAAATGCCTGCAGAGTGTGGTGCTGATTTAGGATCACGAGAAATATGTGAATAGAACCAGAGAGTTTTAAAGATTGGGTAGGCCCATGGAATAGACACGGTTGGTCAGATGTTGGGTAAAGAAACTTTTCTAACCTGTTTAAAGATCAAAACTAACTTTAATTGGCTCACTCTCCCATGGTACCAGTATATTCCAGTTAGGCATTATGTTTCTCAGTTTTCTATATAAAACAACGTTCCTAGAAAGTTAACTTTTAATAGACGTGATGGTGACTGGTCAATTAAACAAAAATAACTAATTATATCCATCTTTGCAGACAGCTTATCCTAAGTGCAAAAAAAAAAAAAAGGCCACGCTGGGAAAAGCATCTGGATAGATAAATTATCCCAGAGGAATGGGATTTGATCTCAGAAAGGGGACAATCAACCTCAGTCTGTAGCATGATAAAATAACATTTTTTTCAGCTTCTGTTTCAGTGGCCTCTCACACCACTCAGCTTAAAAATATGTGTGACTGAATGGGGATAAGCGTGGAGGGAAATTGTGGTGAAAGAAGAGATTCTATGACTATATGGCAGCCGGGTCTAGTCATTAGAGCATTGGGATGGTTTGTAATTTGGTTATTTATTACCAAACCTCCCAGGGCTTCCTAGCCAAAAATGGTCCCACGAAAGGAAATGAAGAATTACTCTTTCATCTGCTGGGAGCTGCTAGGCTACTGATAGCCTCTCACTGGAAAAAGGAAATTAGTCTAGCTGTAAAGGAAAGGCTAAAAAAATGGTGGGTGATTATGGAAAAATTAATGCACACATTACATATCCCTACCCCCCCTACCCCAAATAGCGGTACACCTGTCCAACTTCTTTGAACTTGAACATTTGTTAGACACGCCTGATTTGTTAAATGTGTGTGATCAGAGATTTCAGTGGACTTAATAAAATGATTAGAAACCACATGTAGTGGGTCATGTGAAGATGCTTACACCCTATGTACCATATGGGACACCCTACGCCTATTGGATAGAGAGACCTGATCGTTACATTCATGTATGTTTCTCCACACAGAAGCTCAGAGTTGTAATGATGATTGTTTTGTCTGATGTTTACCGGTCAAGGCTTTATAAACCTGTTAAAACTGCCTAAATCAATAATTTTTCAAAAGTGAATAGCTGAGCACCAGTTAGCACTGAACAGGAATTATACCTGGGTCTACAGGCTGTAAGTCAGTTTCCTTACTCAGACCAGGGTCCTGTTGACTTCAGTAGAACTCGTATCTGACTAAGGATGGTGGGATCAGACCATGAGCAGGCTGCCTATTGAAATTCTCTAGAGGAGAGGTATTAAAGGAAAACACACCTTCAGTTACTTTCCCATTGCCTTGCTTTGCAGTTCTTCTGGGCAGGGGAGAGGGGAATGTTGAACCTCCTCACCACCAGAAATGTGGGCCACATGGTCAGTAGCTGGCTAGATTTTACATAAGCAGGGAGGAGCTGAACTTTCCAAAACCCAAGGAAAGCGAACGGCCATGTTGCATATCTCAGTGCAGGGTGTGTACTACATGAAGACTAGGAATAGGAATATATCCCTGAACAGTTCTAAAGCACCCCTCGCTGTAGTGACTAGGCACAATAGTATGAATACACTTCTCGTTGTTGAGAATCTGCAAGTTGAAACCCAGTCTAAACTAATGACAAGTTTCAGAGTAGCAGCTGTGTTAGTCTATATCCCCAAAAAGAAAAGGAGGACTTGTGGCACCTTAGAGACTAACCAATTTATTTGAGCATAAGCTTTCGTGAGCTACAGCTCACGAAAGCTTATGCTCAAATAAATTGGTTAGTCTCTAAGGTGCCACAAGTCCTCCTTTTCTTTTAGTCTAAACCAATGTGGTTCTTGAGTCTCCAGGCTTTACAATTCTTAGTAACTTTTATTTGAACTTACAGGAGATGTTGTGGGTGTTGGTACCACTTTGAGAGCACAGAGCACGTGAATCTTAAACAAGCAGGGAGTTCATGCTTTTTCCATAGTCTGCAGATTCAGCCTGTCACATTTTGTTCAGCTATGGGTTAGGGACAGCTTCCCCCCCAAAATGTTAAAGATATTTTCACAAGAAATGATTTTCAACTTTATATTGCAAAAAAACGAAAACACTTCTTTCCCCAGATTGTAGTGAAATTTACACAAAATCACTGACCACTAATAGGTACTCCCTTGTCTTAAGTGGCCACTTTAAGTAATCACCAAGATTTTTAGCAGCATTGTGGTAACTGTTTGAGACACTACCTGGGGAGTAGGCAGCAAACTTTTTAAAGACAATTTGGTGGTTGCTTACAAGAGGTTTCACTTTATGTATAAACAAACATGGATGCTATAGACAGGATTCTTCTTACCTGTAGCCAGAAGCTGCATACTGTTGTCACCTGAGACTGTATTTGTCTCTGTCTCAAAATAGAGCTGGGTTATTCCCTGAAGATTAAAAAATGTTAATCTTGTACTTTAAGCCCTTAAGGGCAGGGGACAGTGATAGAAAAATAAAGTCTTTAATTGTGCAACTCTGTCGGCCCAGTGAAACTTTTCTGGCAATTTTGTGTGCCTTCCTTGCATCTCTTACTCTGTTTTGTTTCCCTGCAGTCCACCTGGAAGGATTTTGTAGTGGCAGAATATTTGACTGCAGAGATGTGACGTTCGTTGTTGGAGAAGGGGAAGACCATGACATTCCAATTGGAATTGACAAAGCTCTAGAGAAAATGCAGAGAGAAGAATACTGTATCTTGTACCTTGGACCACGGTAAGAAACTCTTTTTGGTCTGGGTGAGCAGTATCTGTCTCAGCATCTTGCAGACAATCTCAGTAGCAGACTGTTACTGAAAAGGATATGTTTCTTTCATAGGATCTTCTTTACAAATGCCCACCCCTACGATCTCCTAGGAGCCACCAAACCTGTAAACTGATAATTTCAGTTTCTGGAAAGTTTGACAAGAGCATTGTTGTACCTGTGTGAAACTGTCTGTTGAATAGATAATCATATCTAATTTGGCTTTGTTCATAGTATTCATACAAGCTGTCACAAACGTAGGATTAAGGAGAGTTGAGTTGTGAGTGAGTGCTCTTGTTCAGATATTTGTATCTGAACTATTAAAGGAAATGCACCCATCACCATTAGTGCAATCCACAGCTTGTTTTTGTGCAGCCTTATAGCTTCCGCATATTACATAGACCAAAATCACATGCCTTGTGGTTGACGATAGGAATATCCACATGCACCCAAAGCATCCTATGATCTAGCATACCTTCATTTTGCTCTTATGGAATAAAATCATCCTATCCTGACATGTTTAAACGCTGGGAGAGGGTTGGAATGGCATCCAGTTACTGACATAAATTTAGGCCAAAATGACAATCTCTGGTTTGCAGGGTCAGGTGCCTACATATGGATTTAGGTGTTTAACTTTAAGTAGCCTGCCTTTCAGAGGCACAGGAAAAAGAGCACCGCCCTTGAAGGGTGATACTAAAAGAAAATGGAAATATACAATTAATTCAAGAAACAGCAGAGCTGAGTAGAGTAGAATCCTAGAATATCAGGGTTGGAAGGGGACCTCAGGAGGTCATCTAGTCCAACCTGCTGCTCAAAGCAGGACCAATCCCCAATTTTTGCCCCAGATCCCTAAATGACTCCCTCAGGGATTGAACTCACAACCCTGGGTTTAGCAGGCCAATCCTCAAACCACTGAGCTATCCCTCCCCCCCAGTATGGGTGATGCATCCCATCTGAATGCCAGGGGAATAGTATTGAATGCAGTCCTGTTTCTAAAAACAACATTGCCACTGACAAGAAACTTGGCACAGTTTCCTATTCAATGTCTGGCTTGTCTCTAGGGTTTGGTGTGTAGCTCCCCACTCGTACCTCCATGTGTGCATGAATAATAAGAATATTGAATGAAGTGCCTGATCACACACCCTTTCCTCTGACGCTTTATTTTTATGCTGTGTTTCAGATATGGGTTTGGCGAGGCAGGGAAGCCTAAATTTGGCATCGAGGCAAATGCTGAGCTTGTGTATGAAGTTACACTTAAAAGCTTTGAAAAGGTGAGAATAGAATTTCTCTCAAAACACAAACACACACACACTTTCAAAGACTACTGGAAGCTGTTCTGCCTTGAAAGCGTTTAACACTGTGTCTTTGGTGTGGCTGTAACGCAGCCCTGGTAAAGCAGTTACAGCAACAAAGATCTCGGTGTTCTTAATTTGTTCTCCTATGTTGGTTTGTTTTATTTTTTTGGATGCGTTTCAAGACTTGTTCCTTTATTTGTTCCTAGGCCTGTTCTCTTTGTACTTCTTTTTATTTTTTTTTTTAACTGGGCTGCAGACAAAAAAGTTCATGTCCTGCCAAACTGCTCTGAAAGGAGGGCAGGGCTGGGCTGCTGAACAGGCTGCGCCCTCTTTGGGAGGCCGGAAAATGTGCCCGTGTTTGTACAGTGCTAATGAAGAACAATATGTACATGGGGTGGAGCAGATGCTGCCAGGCTCTGTCCTGGGGCATGTTTGTGGGAGGTAGGCATTTGTGTCTGGCTTCCCTCCCCCATCTCTTAACAAGGGAGAGGACAGAATTTCCCTTCTCCCTGTGGAGACACTTTACCCACCCCTCCGATGCTGGCTGGTATGTTGTTTTGAATGGGGTTTTGGAGCACATGGGGTTCGAATGGACCAGTCTTGTTAAACAAGTGTCCTCTTACCTGATCCTAGACACAGAATGGCTTTCTTTAACACACAGCACTGACGAACCCAGCCAGTTAAGGAGAAATCCTAGACAGCTCTGTCCACTTGATGTGAAGGACTTGAGTCTCAGGTTACAGGACTGACCACTCATTTTGACTTTATTGCCTTTTTAATTCCTAAAGCTGAATGTATCTGGTGGACAGATAAAGGATTTATTTATGACTATAGACCCATACTTGCTTTTGTGATCCACTCCTCCTAGCTGCCTCCAGTGGGCAAAGTGGCTTCCTCCTGACACCAGAGAACAAACTCCTTCAGATAATGAGTGAGCATTGGCATGGCAAAGAATTGGTAATAGCAGTGTGGCTTGGAGTCAGCATGTCTTGAAATCTGGGTTTCTAGAAGTCAGTTTCTGTTGTTGGGATAAGGAGAGACGAGGTGGGTGAGGTGATGCCTTTTGTTTTATTCTGTTGGTAAAAGACAAGTTTTCAAGCTACACAGAGATCTTCAGGTCCCCTACGTAGATCGAAAGATTGTCTATTTCATCATCAGAAGTTGGTCCAATAAAAGATATTACCTCACCCACCTCGTCTATCTAGTATCTTGGGACCAACACGGCTACAACAACACGACAAACAAGTTGGGATAAGGAGCCGCCCTAGAAGTCAGGAACTCCAGCTGATATTGTTTCCTGTCTCATCTTCTAACAGTTGTTATAAATGTTTGCACACAGGCCAAAGAATCCTGGGAGATGGACACCAAAGAGAAACTTGAGCAGGCTGCCATTGTCAAAGAGAAAGGGACAGTGTATTTCAAGGTTTGTAAAGACTTAGTAGAAACTGGGTCGCCAAGAAATGAAACTGGGATTCCAGTCTAACATTTTCTTAAATTGCTGGTGGACCCTTCAGAGAAACAATTGAAGGGCTTGTCAACACGGGAAGTTAATGTGCAGCAAACTGGAGTTTGACTTTACAGTGCACGAGCTACTGTGCACTAAACCCCATCTGGGCGCACACTCATAGCACACTGAAGGTGCCTTTGTGTGCTTTAGCTTAATTGCCCGAGGGCGCTTTTAGTGTGCAGAGTGTTCACATGGGGAGTTAATGTGAAGTAGCTGGCATGCTGTAAATTCACACGTGAGCTTGCTGTGTGTTAACTTCCCTGTGTAGACAAGCTCTAAAACATCATTGAACAGGCATAAAATGTCACAGTTTGTCCCTCCCAAACAGTTTTAGCCCTAGGCAAGGCAAATATTGCCCCTCTCCTGCCTACCCTCCTCTTCAAATGACCAATATGGTCTATTGAAAACTTGAGCTTCCCATCTTGGCGTAGCACAGAAGCCTGAGGAAGGAGCTGCAATGTAGGACAACAGTTTGGTATTGGACTGTTCTTGCCTGATAAGTGGCTCCTACTAAATAAGGAGGTATCGCTAAGAAAAGGTTTCTTCGTTTAACACTACTGTCTGCCTTTTTGGGCACTTGTATGGTATAGCCTTATGACTTCCAAACTTCATACCGCTAATGCTTATTTACACAGTGCAAATTTAATACATGGAACTCATTGCCATAAGATATTACGGTCAAGAGTTTAGCAAGATTCAAAAAAAGGATTAGACAGTTATATGACTCGTGAGAATATCCACATTTAAATTATGCCAAATACAATTTATGGGGCTATAAACCCTCCTGCTTCAGGATATAAGCTCAACACTGAGAGGAATTGCCAAGAAAATTCCTGTATAGGTTAGTTATTCTAAACTGTCTGCTGTGTGGTTTCTCATCCCTTACTCTGAAGCATCTGGTACTGGCCACTGTGCCATGCAGGATATTGGCTTTATCTGGCATGACCATTCTAATAGTTCCTAATAATAGAGAGCTTTATTGAAAGGAAGATACGCACTGTCCATTTTGTAAGTGGAAAGAAATTACTTGAATTCAGGGACGCATCAAAATATAGCTGACCTTGAAAAACAGATCGCTTGCATCAAGGTTACAGCGGGTTTGGAGAAGATGTTTTAGTCTCCAGACTTTGCTCTGTCGGGCGATATTAGCATCTTTTATCTGTACAGTTAAGATTATTTGTTACAAGTCATGTTGTTTAAATGTAGTTGGCTGTTTTGATGGATTTGTATTTGAGTTAATGAAGATCTCTTATCATATCTTTGCCTTTCATATCATATCCTTGCCTTTCAGCCTTCCGCTTTCAGCTGTGAAGCTGTTTAATTTCTGAAACTGGATGAACACCATTGGTCCTTCTCCCCCTGTATTACAGCATGTTTCTGAATAAGCAGTTCTCTGTTCAGTCTATATCTCATGGGAACTATGGGACACCCATCTTTTGGGTCCCTGGAAACTGCCTTTTGTACTCTAGTTTTGCCTGTCCGGCAGGGGAAAGGGCATAATCTTTCTCTACTCCCACAGTGGGCATCCTATCAGGTGGTGATGGCTTGCAAGCATCCTGCCCTCCTAGCTTCAAGGGGAGTGTCTCCTTGGAACCCTGAAAAGAGAGAGATGGCCGTTGAAAGGGAAGGACAGGAGAGAAGCACTGTCTCCCACTTGGACCAGGCTAATGCTGAGTTCATTTCCTCAGGCAGGTGAAAGCCTAGGATGGTGGGATGTGTGGGCATTCCTCCTAGCACTCATGGGAGTGGGGAGTAGAAAACAGGACCTGATTTTGCAGAGGTGCTGAGCATTGCAGCTTCCGTTAACTTTCACTGGAGTTGTGGGTGCACGGCACCTCTGAAAATCAACCCCCTTGTTTTTAATTTTAAAAGACTCAAGGTGGTTCAGATTGTTAAACTGTCTTAAAACTGTTCCAGAAGCACATCCGCTTCAGTTTGCCAAATAACAATCCTTTAGCCTTGTCTTCCCTTCATCCCAGGAAGGCAAGTACTTGCAGGCAGTGATTCAATATGGGAAGATTGTGTCCTGGTTAGAGATGGAGTATGGCTTATCAGAAAGGGAATCTAAAGAAGCTGAATCCTTCTTGCTGGCAGCCTTCCTCAACTTGGCCATGTGCTACCTGAAGCTGCGGGAGTACATCAAAGCTGTTGAGTGCTGCGATAAGGTAAAGGTACACCTGGCTAGAATAGGCTGTTTTTCTGTCCATTACCTCTCCTGTCTTTCTCCTCTTCCCTTATATTGAATTTCTCTACATTCCAGAGGCAACTTCCAAACTTCAGTGTAAGTTTAGTCTCCTCTCTGATGGGCTGATAACTGAAACTTAAGGTTTTCTGAATGTTACTTTTTTGGAGGGGTAGATCAGTAGCACATTTTTATAAAGTTACGCACAGAGTGGTCTTGGACACATTACAACTCAAACAAAATTAAAAGCAACATAGAACAAAATTAGGGCTGGCATCAAACAAGAATCTTCTCAATTAAAATGTGAATTAAGAGCAATTTTGGCTTCTCAAATATTCAGAAGTTGATTAGTGTTTAATTCCCAAACAACCTCAGTCCAAATAACTGCATTTTGTATCTGTCTTATTTATAATGTGCCAGCCTTCGTATGTTTAGGATGACCAGACTATCTTTGTAATCAGGAAAACAAGCAATTGAAACATTCTGTGGACTTGCCGTATTAATAACCTTATAGATTAACGAGTGTACTTCAAAATCCCAGTGCTGGGATTAAATAAGATTACTCTTGTATGTATTCTGCTCTTGAAACAGTATTCTGCTGCTAGTCATTTAACAGCGAAAGTTGAAAATAGTTACAGTAATCCATCCCTTCGTACAACATGCATACAAATCAACCTATTCATATCAAAGTGCCTATATCTCTGGAAGGGTGCGAAGTAGAGCCGAACAAATCTTTCTTACTGAGCCTGGCTCTGTCTAGCAATGTTGTTAGAGATCATTAAACTGAAGTTTTTTTAAAAGATGAAAAATGCTAGCAGAGTGTTGTGTTACTCCTGCTGTACCTGTTATAATGTGTCCTGTTCTAACGTACTTTTTCATCATGGCACTTGGACAGTATAGACTTGTTTTTGTAGAATCTCAGTATTTCTTGTGTGATGTTTTGCTTTATGGATGGAGAAGTTAAAGTAACTTGAAACCAATCTGTTAAATTTCAGGAACATACAAGCATCTGAACCAGGTCAATTTCAGATGTTTGATTATTTCTCTTGATCTGTGCTGCACATCTTGTGAACCCTCATGAGGGAATTTATGTGCACTTGTCCAGGGGAGTTTTGGTCCCAAAGATTTTAAAGAGACACGATTTCATTTTTACTAAGCTCCTTTGTAATGCTGGTATAATTTTATTTTGAACAGTGTCTTTCATGCAAACTTTTGTTTAAAATAAAATGCTTTACAGAATTCGTTCAGGAGATGAGTCATCCAAAGTAACTACCTGGTACAGATTGGTTGGATGGTGAAAAGCATTTCAGATGGGGATGTGTGGTCCACCCAATCTTCAGGTGTTCAAAATTTAGCCCTTTGCTCTTTTAAAAAAGAGTGTTTTTGTCTGAAATTTGGAGCCAGAGGGTATGACTTTTAGGGCCAGATCCTGCAGCTGGATCCATGTGGATAGACCACAGTGACTTCAGTGGGGTTCTACCCAGGCACAGCTAATTTGAATCTAGCCCCTAGGTGCTGGCCTGTGCATCAGTGACATTCTTCAGCATACCAGCAGCCTTTTGGAATGTCAACGTTGTCAGCAGACATGTAAGCATATTGGGCATGCAGGCAGCAATAAAGGAGTTTGTGTAAACTAGAAGCTAGAGTGTTGAAAGTTTTTGTCTTGTGCTAAGTTTTTAACTTAAACTTAACTTAACTTGAACTTTGTCTAAGTTTTGTCTTAGACTTCTGTGGTTAGGACTCTTGCAGACTTGATTTGTAGTATAAGTTAGTCATTTGAACTGGAAAAAAATAAAGTTTAAACCTTTAAATATCAGCTTCTGCGTGTAATCATGAGTCACGGTACATTTGTTCAACAAAGCCTTTTTTAAATGAGTCTTACATTCTTTCCATGTACTAATAATGCAGTTACTCACAATTACCAATGGGCCAAATTCTGCCTTGGATAGGCGTGTGTGTGTAATATATAATAATATGCAAGATAAAAATCTTGTCATAGGGAATTCTATTAGAGATACACAACTAAGTGTAAATCAACTGAAGATCATTTTTAAAGAAGGAGAGAAAGTAATACAGCTGCCTCCGGAAGGTGCTTAACACAGTGAAACAAACTTGTGAAACAAACTTGTGAAAAAACAAAGATGCTGCTAAGGATTAAACTTTAGTGGGTGCTGAGAGTGTCGCTTTAATGTGCTCCTCTAGGCTTGGGTTTGGTACTTAACCATGAATTCTTGCATTTGTGGGTTTGTCTCCCACTGACTAGATTACTTTCTGGGGGGAGAGGGAGGTCCAGTTATAATATTAATCAACTGCAGTATAAGTATGTGGATTTTCAACCAATACTGGAGGCCGGTGCCATTTTGTGTAGGGCAATTTAGGAGCACTGTAGAGATTTCAAGCCTTTCCTGCCATTCCAATTTCATCATGCTTCATGAGGACTTTAAAACTTGCAGTGCCTCTGAAAGAGAGACGAATTCACGTAAGCAGAGCGTTTAGGAACCAGCATTGCATAGGACTCCAGGGCAAGGAGCGCTCAACATTATTGAGGTGTCTTACAGCAATGTCTCATTTTAGGGGGTTAGGTTTTGAGTTGTGGAAGTATTTATCCCTTTAATCTGATCTTAGTTGGAGTAACTTCAGCAAAGTCAGTGAAGTTACACTGGTGTGAGATCAGAATCGAGCACTCCATCTTACCAAAGAGTAGCGTGCGACCAGGCTTTCCTTTGTTGTGCAACCTAACAGATAGCTAGGTAATGGAATTCTTCTTTGTGCCTTTTGGTGGCAGACTTTTCTGCACAAAAATACCCGATGACACCTGTGGCCATGTACATCTTTTATAAATTGTGCCTGGTGCATATTTGCTAAAATCATTCCCTCCAGCGCAGTCCTTGCCTGCGTTAACTGGAGTACAGTAAAGGAAAACCCCAGGGTAACTAGCAAAGTTTAAGATGGCATCCAGCATTAATGTGGAAATATGTGTTCGCAGGCATTAGGACTGGATCAAGTCAACGAGAAGGGGTTGTATAGGAGAGGTGAAGCCAGACTACTAATGAATGAATTTGAATTGGCGAAATGTGACTTTCAAAAAGTACTGGAAGTAAACCCGCAGAACAAAGCTGCCAAGTCCCAGATCACGGTCTGCCAGAAGAAGATGAAGGAGCACAATGAGCGTGACCGGAGGATATATGCCAACATGTTCAAGAAGTTTGCAGAGAGAGATGCAAAGGTTTGTACTGTGTTGACACTTGGAGCGGATCCGTTATGACTTGATAGCTGACTCAAGTTAAGTGAACTTTGATGGAGAAAGGGACCAGATTAACAGAACTGCAGATTGTATTCTTCTAACAGAAGATAAGTCTATGGAAAGAGAGTCTTTGTATTTCTTGATGGTCCATTCTTGGTTTCTCTACAGCTGAGGCTGATATCACAGGTATCAGTTGTTGTTAAGGGTATTTGCAATGTGAACCTTTCCCAACTGGGAATGGGATTGGGACCAAGACTTAATTTTATGATTTCCATCTAGCAGCTGTTTGGTGGCATGCTCCTGGTCACTGCTGACCTCTGCTGGATTGAAGATGTCATTCAGTTCTAATGCTAGGCCTGAAATGTCTGATAGGAGTTGGTAGTGAAAATCCACTGGATATCAAGCATGTGTCTTGCAACATAAGACTCCATTCCCTCTATCTATAATATAAATGTCTCTTTCTTGCCACAACAGGCTGTGAAGTCGCCTAAACAAACAAGTACCTGATGCACACAGTACTCTAGCAGGAGGGAATACATGAGCTATGAAACCAATTTGTATAAATCCTTTACAGCCTTACCTTCAGAACTAGTGCCTGATAAAGAAAGAAAGAACCCTGCCAAATAATTAACTCTGCCAGAAATTGCTACATAAGGATCAATTAATACTCAGGGCTATTAACTGTGACACACAGAGGAAGTGAACTTAGCCAGTTGAGTTGCTCTCCCAGGAATAATGTTCTTCTGCTTCTATAGTGTTGGCCCAAGGTATCTGAGCATTCGCTATAGCGCCATCCATAAATCCACACAGTCTATCCTGAGGGGTTTTACCTTGTTTCCCTCTTCTACTCCCCCATGTCCCCAAACACCCACTTCGGTAACAGTCCTCAGTGATGGGACCGAATGTCCATAGAGGAGGGGTGAACGATACAACATCCTGTTCCTGTGAATTAGTTGAGAAGGTGCTAAGAGGTGAATCCAGTACCCTCTATAATGTACCTAATCTCGCTTAGCCAAGAGGAGTGGAGTGTAATCTGCATATGATGTACTAACTCTCTTAGCCAAGAAGGTACACGTTCCCAGTCTGTGCACACTGTATTACTACCTCTGCTACGCCGTTGGCAATCTGCGATTAGGAAGAGATTTCCTTTACCATGTGTTTGCAGGGATTGTCTGTCCTCACTAAAGCATGTGAGGACCCTTGGATTCCCTTTGTCTTGACTACTGCTTGTGTCTCAACTAACCGTGCGTGGTTTACTTGCTGTTGTGCAGGCCAGCAAAGCCGTGGGAGAGAACGAGGCGGAGAAAGCAACATGTGAAGAGGGGCTAAAAACTCCAGTGGCTGAAGGCAAAGTCTGAGGGGCACATCCGATGGAGGAGAAGGTGGAAAGTTGATCCTTATGAACTTGGCCTGCGCCAAAACAGGTTTCTGCGGAACTCAGGACTCCACAGTGTTTATTGTAAAGCTTGTTACAGTTTGTGTGATCGTGGAAGCAAAATGCCTAACCCACAGCTTCACAAACAAAAATGTTTAAACAGCCCTTCTGCTGTGAGCATGGTCAGCAGCGGAGCAGAAGCAAAGGGACGGTGGGACCACCCCAAGTGGAACAAATATTTTTTAAAAAGAAAGGGGGAATGACAAAAAAAACAAAAAAAACAACAACAAAACTTGGCACTAAGAGGGTTGACTGAGACGGCTCAAGTCCTGCTTATTTCAGCTCATGTCAATTTTCCATACAATGTGCAGGGTCCTCTGAAATGAGTTAGAATGTAGGAGCTATCAGTTGTACAATTCAGTATTGCATTTGGTTGTACTGTAATAGCACAACTTGGGCCTATGATGTTGTTTAAAAACAAATTTGACTCACGTGCTACCAAGTCAGGGTATCCTGCTGTACCTACTAGAACAAAGTGAAAGGCAGCGTGCCATGGTTTGTGTGCTGCAGTGTTATGGACTTGAAAGCCAGAAGCAGAGAGGTTACCTTCTCCTGTAATTTCTTTCTTCTCTCTCACTCCAGTATAGACTTCAAATAGGTTTCTGTAGCACAGGGGACTGAACGATCTAGCTCTTCTGGTTACGTTCAGTGGTGATGACCTCTTGGGGGTTGGTTTCTGTCGGGAGGTTTCTTGGATACGTTTCTGGGGATGTTACAATGTGGTGACAGGAACCGGCATTAAAGTCCTGCATTTCATCATGACTTTCCCATTTCCTTTTCGGAAACTGTTACAATGGCACTCCCACTAGTGCTGCTTCAGTTACGTTTTTCATCACTTCCATTAGAACTCCTCTCTCTTCTTAGGGATTTATAATTTGGCTTTTAAAAAGTGTTTCATTCTGGAAGTTAATTTATTTACGTTTTAAAAAAAAATTGCACCACGTTTTAATGTTGGTGGTGTGCAAACAATTGTTTTCAGAAGCTGCTGTTTTCAGATGCTTAATTTACAACCTGCAGGTTTAATTTTTTTTAAATGGCGTTTACAGCTTATTAGGGGGTTGTGCAAAAAAAAAGGGCAGATGAAATATTGTGGTTCAAAACGGTTATTTGGTCTCTTGCTGCACATACGTGGTACCAGGAATCATAGCTTGCCAATGTATAGCTTTTATCCAGCACTCACTGGTGTTTTGGTGAGAGCTGTATTTGTTTATTAATAACCTACAAAGCACAGAAATACATTGTGACTTACAGATCTGACTGGGAATACACATTCTCAGCATACACTATTATGGCTCCTTTGAAACCTAGTACATACTTCTACCTTAAAGGGACACTGTCACTACCTTTTTAAAACAGCTTTTAAATTTTTATTTACTCTCCTTTGTTTGTAATACCCCCTTTTGAAGCTTGAAAATAAAACTTCTTTTCCTATCAGTTTTATTCTCCATTTAGCAAATACAGGATTTTATTTTGCTCTTTTTCCTTAATGCTGTAGAAACCAGCAGGCTCTCTCTCTTCACTTCTCAGTCTCTCGGCCTTGCATTGTGACATGGGGAATGTGCATGGTTGATGATGGAACCAATTTGAAAATCTGCTTGATCCTAGTGATGGAGTCCGTTCATTATATAAAGGCACATGCTAATGCTGCCCTGGTGTACCCGTGCAAAGGTGCCATTGACTTTCATTGGCAGTTATGTACTTAAGGGCAGAATTTAGCCTCTCCTGTGGGCATAGTAGAGGGAGTTGGTTGCATTTAATTGTATTTCAGTGTGATCCCATCAAAACGGAAAGCAGCTTTAAAAAAACAACTTGGTAATGGATTTAAACAATGTTAAATATATTTAGAACTTAGAGCCCAAACCCCACTTTATAGACATTTTAAAGTAGTCTGAATTTTTGTCCTGAACAGGAGAGCAGTGCCCCTTGAATGAATCAGCTGATACGCTAGAGGGCCCATCGGGAGGGAAGACTCAAATTCTTTACTTGCACTTACCCTTTTTTATTACGACTGTATTTTAAAATATATATATAAACCACCATGAAGCAAGACACTTAAATAATGGGAAGAACGCTACTTCAACCCACAAACCAGGGAAGATTAAAATCTGTCCTTGTCTTCTTTAAACCTTGCAGGGATTTGAGTGACTGTTCCATCTACTGTATGGTAGCTCCACAGTGAAGTAGATTCAATATAGCATTTGAGTCTGAACACTGAATGTCCTGCCTCTTGTGTCAATTTAGTCAGACCTTGTCATCTCATTTTGAATGTATTTTTGGGAGGCTTTAATCATCAGTTTGCATGCTTTTGGACAGCAAAGGTGATCTGACCCGGTGGATGGGTGAGCAGTTTGGTCCTTGGAAAGCTTTCCTTGCCACTATAAAAGGACTTCTGCTTCTACAGGGATCTGCAAACTAACTTCTAAAGTTCATGCATGCATTAAGTTGTATGGCTAAACGAGTGCCGAATGCAGTGTATCTGCAAGAGATGGGAAAGACAAACCATGTTTGGCTGAATGTAGATTTTGTCCTTGTCTGCATGTGCAATGTGCATGTGCAACTGACCTCAGTTCGCCTGTTGCACCACAGGAAAGGTTTCTAGTGTAGACAGGGCTTTGGAGACAAACTTTCTATCCAGCCAGGCAAGTGGTCCCTCCCCTCCCCACAATTCACAGTCTTTCCAGTATGCCTAACACCAACCTGGTGGTAAAGGTACCATCTTTAGGAGTGAGCAGGGAGGTAAGACTTCTTGCCCGTTCAGTACTGAATCTTGGATGAGACCAGTGTGCTTAAGTGACCATTTGTGATCCGGACTGGACGGACTGATTTCCTTGAGGGCCAAACAGTTATCTGTTATATATGTGCAACTGAGCCACTTTTCAACTGGGGACAGAGATGGAAGGTGCTGTATCTTATTGCCGTGGCCCTGGGACACCCAGCCTTAAATGCCACACTTGTGTTCATACATATCACCAGTAGTTGGTTAAGTGGGCTGTAGCTACAAGAATGAAGGTGACTCAGGTCACGTGGTCTCACATCACTTCTGTAATATGCACAAGATTCTCCCCATTCTCATCTAAATTCCCTTTCTAGGGTAACGGAGCCTCTTACTCAATCCACTTGCCCAATCCTCTGTCATAAACTGCTCCCTAGTGTCCACCTTTGCTATCCAAAGCACTTTTCTCCCTGCCTGTCCCTTCTGTACCAATATTCCAGTCATGTGAATTATCCCACCAAGTCTGTGATGCCAGGTGTCATAATTGTGATTATTCACGAGCACATCTTCCTGTTGATTCCCCCATACTTCTTGCATTCGTATACGGACATCTAAGATGTTCATTAGATTCCCCTCTATAATCTCTCTTGTCTCTCCCTGTTATGATTACTCATGTTCCTCCCAGAGTCTGACCCTTCACCCAGCTCTCCATGTGTTGGATTCACCTTCGGGCTTTTGTCTCCTGCCCCTCTTGAACCTTGTTTAAAGCCTGTCTCACGAGGTTACCCAGATACTCTTCCCCTTCCATGGTAGTGGACCCCATCTCTGCTCAGCATATGCTGCTTCATCCAGCCTGTCCCTTCTGCAGGCCATAAAGGGAGTAGAGAGCAAGAAGGGAGGAATTTAGTGTATCTGTAAGTGGTGGTGGTCTTCCTGTACCCCACTGCAAAGGCTGTGGGAGTCCAGACCCCATCACTTTAAAGGGAGAGCACAGACCAGATGAATTCAGCATCCTTTCTTACTCTTCATTCAAACGCTGCCTGAAGCTGCAGTATCCTTCGAGCTCATCTGTTTCACCTGCTGGAGACTTCCCCAGCACTCAGCCTGGCCTCTGGATCCTCCATGCTACTGTAGGTTTGGTGCCTTGGGGAGAGGGGAGACACAGATACACAGCCACAAGTGACCACGTGGCTTCCCTGTTTTGATAACTGCAATAGCCTCAAATGAAAAAATAAGGGCATCTGGATCTTTCAGTCCGAGGCAGGGTTCCTCCGCCAGAGGGCTAGTGGGGCTGTATTTATGGCACATGCTCCTGGTTATTATAGTCCTAGGAGCCTGGTCAAAAGCATGTGTGTTCCTCTGTTTACATCATAATAAAGATGTAGCTGAAAGCAAAGCAAACCCTTTTCTCTTTATTTTGTGAAGCCAAAACTGCAGGATTTGAAGCCAATGTTACTTGGACAGCTACTAAAGAAAATCTCCAAACGAACGGCGCCAGTCATTTTCCAGCTCCGGCTGCCACGTTGTGGACGGCTGGGCAGAGAGCACCACCAGGTGTCTCTCAATTCAATATATTGCAGAAATACACAACCCTAGTGTTCCGCTCCTCCTGTGCCTCAGCTTGGATTTGGTTTAATTTCTATCCAGGTCTCACTGAGGTGAGGAATGGGCAGCCTACAAGTCCGTGACCCTTGCCACTGGTGCATATACTTTGTTGCTGAGGCAGATGGTTCTGAGGGAGGTTTACTGGCAACTCTCCCCTCATCACTAGAGGGGCTACAGGGCTCTTGGCCATGCCTGTTAGTGTTTTTAAAGCATTTATTATCCTGGGGGCAGGGGGGACGTTACATCCCTGGGTGTGTCAAAGCTGGAAACACTCATCACGTTGGACAGTTTTTCTGTCTCTTTGTTGCTATCTGTGTCCTGCAGCAGCCGTCTGGTGTCCTACAACCGCCCAGCTCATCTGCAGCTCTCCCCCACGGGAAAGGCGGCTGTGCTTTCCGTCACTCCGGCTCCCCTCTCTGCATCTGATTCTCCTTTCGCTTTTCTTGCCGTCCCCCTAAACTGCTCATTCTCACCAATGGGAGAAGCTGTCTGAGCTGCCAGCAGAATTCTGAAGTGTAGATCAGTGGCGCTCAACCTCTCCGGACTACTCTGTTCCCCTTTCAAGAGTCTGATTTGTCTTGCGTACCCCCATGTTTTACTTCCCGTAAAAACGTACAAAATCTGACCTAAAAATACAGACGTGTCACAGCCACCACTACTGAAAAATTGTCCTTTCTCATTTTTACCATATAATTATAAAATCAGTTGGAATATAAATATCGGACTTCCATTTCAGTGTATAGTATGCAGAAGAGTATAAACAAATAATGGTCTATGAAATTTTAGTTTGTACTGACTTTTGGTGCTTTTTATGTAGCCTGTTGTAAAACGAGGCAAATATCTAGATGTACCCCTGGGAAGACCCCCAGGAGTACACGTACCCATTGAGAACCACTGGCGTGCATCCTATACCAGGAGTGAAAACACTGCGAGGAAGGTTAGCTATACTTTTTAGAAGCCTTCCTTCTATCTGCGGTGTTTCTGTAGGTTGGGTATCACCCTGCAGCCACCTCCTTGTCGTGCATTGCACCAGTGTCTGCTCTCCAGTTAGGCTGGGATGTTGAATTGTACATCATCATGCTGTAGAATTGCTATTCCTGCTGGAGCTCCTGGGGCTTCCCCCCCACCACACTAGCTAGAGAGTACCTGGCAAGATTTCAGCACCTGTTCATAGCTCTCTCTCTCTCTTTGCCACAGTGCTCTGAGGTGAGCATAGAAGGGGGAGGGGGTAGCGTGCTCACTGTAAAAGCGGATCGATTCCCAGCGGGCAAGCATATGTAGATCAGCCCCTTAGCTGCACGGTATCTTTCCTTATTTACTTCTGTAAACGGACTGGTTCTCTCCTGCATGTCTTTGCGGAGGAGGAGGGGTTGCTAAGAAACCAGCAGCTGGATGACAACAGGATGGAACTAGAAAGTGATCTTGAAGCCCAGTGTCCCTCCTGTGAACCCTCTGTTCCGCTCCTGACATGGCTCAGGAAGAGGGAGCCCTGTATTGCATCTGGTCATTTGAGCAGGGAGAGAGAGCGCCTAAGGGCAGAAATTTCTAACTACCCCTAAGGGCCCTGGATGTTTCCTGGGTATCATTGCTATCGCTTGCATAAATGCAGATCTAATTATCACTTACAATATGATCAGTCTTTGTTTTAAAGTTAGGATATAAAATTTCTCTTTCTCCTCCCACAACCCTGCAGGCCACCAGGGTAGAGACTAGGCCAAGCCTGCTGCCAAGGAGTGTTTTCTTGTGTGTTGTTTACTGTTCAGATGTTCTATATGGCACCTAAACACCTCTGCCTGTGGAGGTGGGGTTCTCGACACTGGCCACCCACAATCTGCTCAACAGTCTTCTGAGTGTCTGCTGCGTAACGTTGCTGACTGCAGTCTTGTCAGTTATCGCAAGCTAAATAGGGTTGGGCTTGGTCTGTATGTGGATGGGAGATTGGCAGGGTACACCTTGGTTGTTCAGGTGGTGGCACTGGTTATTCAGCAAACTGCTCTCTTCCCTTGGACTGCTGAATCATAAACACGCCCACCCCTCCTATGGCTGGGGATGCTGCGCTTCTAGAGGTGCAAACTTATGGATGATACAGTCAGTTTCTTGGCTTTAATGAATGTGG